TCATATATTTATATTAGAGTACAAATTTAAAAAATATTACTACTTATTTAAATAACTTTTGATCCAGATGGTCAATTGTTTCTATTTTTTTTGTATTATTATTAAATGAAATTTAGAATAGTCTGTAATTTTTTCAAATAGTTCTTAACATATTGCATTGGCCTTACAACCTCCTTTAATTAAAAGTAAACTTTTAATTATTTTTAAAAACCTTAACTTCATTTAAAGTGAATTTTTCTAAGAGAGGAAGTAATGTAGAAAACACGTATAATTTGTTTATCAAGTATTACATTTTAACAATATTATTACTTGTATAATTAAATTAAGGTTACGCAATAAAAGATAAAAATATCTTTTTCTTGTAGGAATTCCCGCTCACGTTTCTAGCATTACCCTTAATACGGATAAATATGAGGCGGAAGTTTTCAGAATTTCCTTAAAGCTTATAAAATTTATTGCTAGAAACTTTCCTGCAGTTAATTGATGAGGTTTGGTTGATCGAAGGATCATTAATGGTAAATTCTTCATCACATTTAAATCAAAATTGTACCATGGTAAGTCATAAATTGCAGAAGCTAGTTCTTGTGATTGTAATTCCAACGTCTGTCCGGCGAAACAGTAGAGAAATAGCTGCAGCAACAAAACAGCTATGAAAAGGAGATGTTTCATGGCAGCATATGTACTATGCATCGAAAGCGTAAAAATAAACTGAAAACCTGAAATGCGTACGATAATGAATTATATACATATACGACAATTATTGGTAAGCTTAAGATTTCTTATAAATCTTGTAAATTTTGTATATCTATTCTGTAATTAAATCAGAATTAAGTGAAGACGTTAAGAAATCGTATGTTTTATATCTTCATTTTTTATATGACAAAAATTATTATTAAATAATGTAGTTATATATATTACATTACTTTTAAAAGTTTTATTATAACGTTAATTGCATTACGATTTATTTGAGATCAAATGTACCTTCAACGCACAATAAAATCACACTCAATAAAAGTTGAAATAAGATAACCAAATTGAATCCTTCTTGTAAATGATGAGCTAAATATATGAGGCAATGATGTCTTTTTAACATCATACCAAGTTTATTGTGATCAAAAAATTCTTTGCTATTTTCTATTTTAGAAAAATCCATCCTGAAAACTTCGAACTGTCCACATACATGCATTGTGAGATCAAATAAAAAGCCATCATGTCCACAATGCGAAATACAGTTGACAATGATTTGTAATATCTGCAGGACTTCGACGAAGACATAAGCGACAGATGTATAACTTCCGAAGACGCAATAAGCTGCTAAAAACATTCTCGTTTCGCTTGTTTTATTGTAAATCTGCTCTTCAAAGCTCCAAGGCAAATCAAAATTGGCGAATATAAAAGATGAGAAGAGAAACACGCAAGAAGAATATCCAAAATAAAAAAATACCGAGGAACCCCGCCTACCAATGCGTGCGTATTTTAGCATAATGTCGCGCGTATAAGGATTTTTCACAAAAGTCCAATCATTGATGACAGATTCCACCAAAACTAATTTGTGTCTCCAATTTACACGATGCAAAAGCAGTTTCGATATACTAGATATCGATGCGGATGTTGATAAAAAAGCGTCTAATGCATCCTCATAACCACGACAATGTCGGATAACTTCCAATGACATGCTGATCGTTGCACTCAGCTAATTTAAAAAAATAAAAATATTGAGTTCTTGTAAAAGATACTTCATTTTTATTAAATTATATACGGTCTGACAGAAAAACCTAAAGTTTTTATAATGACTATAGTTTCGTCGACGGAGAGGATCACGTAACGTTCATACAACACTCTTGACGCTATTTTAGTAGCAATGGAATAGTGAGAAAAATAGCTAAGAAAACCTGATGGTTCTTAAATTAATACCATGCAGGCAAGTTTTACATATATACAACTGTCGATTTGTAAATATACAGAATAATGTATCTCATTTATAAACGTACATAATTATATATACTTATTTAGTAACCGGAACTCAATAGCTGCTATATCAGGAAATTATGGTATAATATCACGAAACACGGTGCAACGCATAATGTGTAACTTCCAAACTAGCCTACAAGAATATGCGAAGAAATAGTTATCTTTCCCAATAGAGTTGAATAGCTACTAAAATGACATCATATATATTGTTGAACATCACCGAGAATGCAATCCTTCCTTATACTAACAGAAAAATTACAGAGGTTTCTCTGTCAAATTCTGTATTTTTTATAAGATAATTTTAATTAATATTTATCAAATGTTTCAACTTTATTTTATGTAATAAGACGTTATCAAAATTAAGCAAAATGTGACATATAATAGGGTAAAGTTGCCGAAATCGCACCGGCTCCTAAATGACACTATCTCGCTTCAAAATTCAATTATTGTATTTATATACTTTCTTACGGGTTATTCAAGAATGATACTGCAACGCTACTCCTTTATACTCGTGACATGAAACGTAATAGGAATGTTGTTATTTACATAAATAAAAGAGTCGTGATAGCGTTGCTACTTTTTTATTTCATAGCAGAATTACAGAAAATATAAATTAAATAGCCTAAATCTTGATTATTTGTCGTGATTAGAATATTATTAAAATTAAATTAATAGAGTCAAAGTTTTTTACATTTTTTTTGTTTATAGATTAAATAAATAAAAGTTTAAAAAATGCTCTAGTTTCCTAAGTCGCACCACAATCTGACCTTTTAAATCGCACATTGCTTATTATTTTTATATTTCTTACAGGTCATGGCCCTGAGTAACCTCCGATAAGTTTTAAATGGCAGTCGACCGTCGTTAAAGAGTTATTAACAAAAAAGTTTTAAAAATAACGTTTTATTTCTATTATATTTTTCAGAAATACTCAGAAATATTCGGAAAATTTAATGGCATATAATAACCTAACCCTAACCCAATCATACATGGTTGGGTTAGAATTAGGTTATTATACATATATTTATAGGTATATAATACAACTATATAACACGAGTATTCCCTGCTTTAAAATATACATATTTGCTATTCGTGTACTGTAAGAAAGTAAGAGTCGAAGGTGAGAGTGCCTTCTTTTGCAGGGAGGAAAGGGGTGAGTCACCTCGGCTGAAAGTCATGCGCCCCTTTGCAAGGGGGAGAGGAGGTGAGAGTCGCTTCGGGTGAAATATTTAGTAGAAATAAAAGGGTTATTTTTAAAACTTTTTTTGTTAATAACTTTTTAACAAAGGTCGACCGCCATTTAAAATTTGGGGGAGGTTATTCAGGGCCATGACCTTGACAACATATGTTAAGGTCAAGGTCATCGGCGGGGTGTCCTCTAATCTGAATAATTACCTTTTTTCCTTTTCTTATGTAATTTAAAAATTTTTTGCGTTATTGTAATATTTTAAATGAGGAATATGGACATTTTTTTTGGCAACGAATTTCCTCATTGTCAAAATCGCACCATACTGAAAAAGATCCTCATTTTCAACGTTATAAAAGCGCAAAACAATTATAAAAAAATTACGTAAAAAAGGGAAAAGAATGCAGTTTATTATGCTGTAAAAAATTTAAGAATATTCTTCATAATTTCTGAGTTATGAGCCTTTAAGTGAAAAGTGATGCGATTTCGGCAACCTTACCTTATGTAGATACAATTTATTTTTTATCTCAAATTAGATAAAACATAATACGAAAATAAAAAAGTAAAATAAAAATTAGACATAAGCCCGGACTCATAGTCGGATCTTATATTCAAGATCGTCGTAAGTATAATCTTAAGATGTTACGAACTAATTAGAGGGCTGTATTAGCATCTTAAGATATTACTTAAGACGGTTTTAAAATAAGAACCGATTATGAATATCATCCATTATCTTTAATAACAACTAAAAATTACAACTTACTTCTATTATTGTCGACATAAACCATCGAATTTTCGAAAATATGTTTTCATCGAGCACCCAGACTCCAAGTACACCAAGAACATATTTATAAATCGTTAAAACGTTTGAAATTTCCGCATTCCATTCTACAGTCAATCCCATTTTCAAACACTTTAAAACTTGCGAACTGTGATAATTCCTTTTAATTTATTTCGTTCGATAACTGTTGCAATTATATTATATTGAGTTTCTCTTTGGCTTTTCCTCAAAAGAGAATGTAGTCCTTCGTTTCTCCACAATAACTGCATTGTGATGATATTCAATAACTATAACCAGCATTTGTTTTTCTGCGACAACCCTCGAGAAACTGACTTCCCTGGATTTCTTTCTAATTTATTATTTACATCTTTTATATCATTTCTTTTAACTTTCTAAAAATGCAAGTATAGCTTGCATTTCCATATGTATTATTTGTATAAATAATATGGTTATACACGACATTTTTTTTGTCCTCTAAGATATTTTACTTCGTCTTTAAAATTAATAAGGTTTACATTCGTTTAAGTTGTATTTACTTGATAAAAGATTTACGACACCAACATTGAAACAATTTCTTGAATTATTATTCTATTAGGTTTCCCTGAAAAAACGATTTATACATATTTTCAGATAGAAAAATATAAATAAGATATAAAATCAAGCGACGCGGTAGCATCGCGACGTCAAGTGTATAAAAATATGAAACAGGCCGCTTGACTGGTTGATGCGTAAATGTCATTGCTTGTATGTATGTACTTATAGTATGTTCGTGCCGCTGTCAAATTCGCGACACTACGACTAGCTTTTTCCGGAGTTTTGACAACGACAAATTTTCGATTAAAATTACTCAGAAACTAAAACGGCAATCAAAAATCTAACTAACTCTTTTATTATACATATAATACCATTGTGATTTTTCGATAATTGCAACCAGTCCGAATAAAATTGGTGCAGTTGATACCGAGATCGAGTTCCGAAAAAGGACCATTTCAAATATTCAGATTTTTTTCAGTCACACATATAACGCATCATGTAAAATATGTAAAGCGTTTTGTCCATCAAGCTGCTTTCACAATGCCTTCATTCAAATAATATTATGAAAATTAGCAATGTAAGTGAATAAAAGTAATGCATGCATATACATGCGTGATAATTATCGATGTACACAAGGCAGACAAACAGAGACAGAGCGTGCGTGCGTGCGTGCACGCGAGAGTGACAGAGAGAGAGAGAGAGAGAGAGAGAGAGAGAGAGAGAGAGAGAGAGAGAGAGAGACGCATGGTGGTATTTGACTGATTCAGGCGGCCAAAATTATTTTTGTAATTCAAGTGGATCTAATCATTTTACTAATCTATTGTATTGTATTTTAACCTTCGGTGGTCACTAGGGATCCAATGGACCCCAGAGTAATTTCAGGTTAAAATATTTCTAAGTATTCGGTAAAAATTGTATATGTCGTTACATCTGTCGGTAGTTTAAAGCACTACCTATGAAATCCAGACAGAACCAGTTACTCAAAAAGCGTCAGTATACTCGTGGCACACGGCTGAAGCAAGTGATTTTCGGGGTGGGGTCCAACGGACCCATATGTGACCATGACGTATAATTGGGTGAAAATCTTTTGAAATTTATTTTCGTGATTTACGTGCTCCATTTTTGAAAGAAAAGTGTAAGTAAATTTTTAGCACTCCCTAATTTTTTTTCTAATATTATTTGAGCAGTACGTTTTTTTTATGCATTCAGGTGGCGTTCATTGTGCGTCGACTGTGCAAGGCAAGATTAAAAGTTTTGAATTTTTTAATAGTATTACCACCTTACATATTTTTTTATATTAAATAAATTGTTTATTTTCATCTATTATCAATAAATTAATTTTTTTTTTACAATAATTGTGTATCTCTTTTTTTTCTAAAATAGCACGTTCCCTGCGCGCGCTACGCGCGCGCTCCTCCATTATACTATCCTTTTTAGACATTATGAAATATAATATTACGAATCTGGATTCAAAATGTTTGAATAAGAAAAATGACCGAATCATTATGGCGGTTTGAAAATTTGAAAATTCAAAGTGGTTGAATCAATATGGCGGAATTCTTTAGTGAAATACCATAAAAAATTTTATAATAAAATTATTTATTATCGAACGCTTAATGTTACATGTCGCTTCATTTTTTTTAAATTTACGTTAGAGGAGAAAATCATCGTACACCTTCTGCCAGGTGATGTTTCATTTGAACATCAACCTGACCAGAGGAAGTCACTTGGCGCCCGAGCTTACCGGGTGCGTTGGATACGTTCAGTTCGTGTTTTTGATTAGTGAAATCGAATATTTTTCTTTTGTATTCGTTTGCTCATCATTTGCTCACGATTGCTCCGTCGAATTTTCGTTTGCTCACCCTTAGTTCAAAAGTTATACGAAATTTAAATTTTAGGGGGTCAACATCACGCTAGCCCTCCAATATTAAAAGATCGAACATTTTTTTCTGCATTCGTTTGCTAATTGTTTTCTCACTAATGCTAGCAATAGAACGGAATGAGCGCAAAAATTTTTTTTGCGGATATAGGTAGCACATAAATAGCGCATTATTCAATAATTTCTTCATTAAGATTTGGGTAAGTGGCGGGGGCCAGCTAGGCACACGTGACTTAGGGGTAGATATAACTGTCCGCTCCAAGAAAGAAGCGTCTTAAGTGTTGCAGCGCAAAAACCAAAAATATCTGGAAATAGTAGCGCATAAGT